TAAAGTTAATAGTATAAAGATATTGGCCAAAGCTGATCATACTCTGCTGCTTTTAAGATACAGTTCATAGGAACCAACTTTCTACCATCAAAATATCAGTTGTGCCCTGGCCAATGTGGCTTGGTTGGTTGAACAACATCCTATGCACCAGAAGGTCACCAGTTCAATTCCTGGTCAGGCCACCTATCCAGGTTGTGGGTTCAAAAACCAGTTCAGGTGCATGCAAGAGGCAACTGGTCAATGTTTCTCTTTCACATCAATGTTTCTCTCTCCCTCTCTCTTCTTCTCTCTCTAAAATCAATAAAAACATATTTTTGCACTAGCTGGTTTAGCTCAGTGGATAGAGTGTCAACTTGCGGACTGAAGGATCCTGGATTCAATTCCAGTCAAGGGCACACATCCAGGTTGCGGGCTCAGTCCCCAGAAGGGGGCGTGCAGAAGGCAGCCAATCAATGATTCTCTCTCATCACTGATGTTTCTCTCTCTCTCTCCCTCTCCCTTCCTCTCTGAAGTCAATAAAAATATATATTAAAAAACAAAAAAAATCCTATTTTAAAAAAAGTATCAATTGTGCTTTTATGATTTATAAACTCCATAACCAATAAGCTATGATGTTCAGTTCAGTATGGTCAGCAACTTGTGATTAGAAAACTCTCCCCCCCCCCCCCTTTTTCTAGAAAATCTCAAGTAGCTCTATTTCTGACAAGGTTAAATTCATGCCCAACTTACAGGAGGGAGGGGAGCAGAGAGGAAGGCTGTGTGGGCACACAGGCAGCCAGTACAGTATGGGCTGTGGTAACTGCTTATTTCCACTGTGAAGAGTCAAAGGAGGTAAGCAAGGCCCAAAGATGTTCCTGAGACTTTAATTATTGGTATCAAAAGTTAGACCCTGGTGTTTAAATTCCCCTATCTTTTATTCCTCCACTGTTTCTTTGAAAAGAGAACCACACTCCAGTCTTCCCTGTCTTCCTCCAGGTATTTCCCGGCTGCAGAAGAATGTGCTCTTTTCTAATTTGGGGTCCCAAGAAAAGAGCTTTAACCTCCTGGGTGTGTGCATTTCCACCTAAAACGTCTAGCTAGTTTCCACAGCCAAGTGACGGTGACGTACACACTCTCTAAATAACAGTCTGAATCGTGTGAATGGGCTGTGACCAGAATTTCAAATCAGTCTAGAAAGACAATTTCATCACTGACATACATCTACTTTGATTCACTTTGCAGTTTCATGGTAATCTTCCAGCACCTGCAATGTTTTAAAATTTTATGGCACAGCTTTATCAGTGAAGAAGAAATGAAGTATCAGATGCTATTAAAACCCCCTTAACACAGCCAGGAAGAATGAAGGAGGGCACCAGAGCACAAATCAACATAATGACTCTTTTATTTCATTCATTTAAATGAATTGTCTTTCTCTAATGGGAGAGACATTGTCAATATTAAAATGTGCATGCACTACTCTGTAATACTCTGTAATTAGTTAGCATGTTATCTACACAATAGACCTGCAGAATGTGTTTATAACTTAAAAAATAATTTATTGAGACAGAGAAGGAAAGGTTAAGTGCAGTGCCCAACACAGTGAACATGGCGGTTAAGTGCCCTGCAGAAAGATGGGTGTGAGTCCCATTTCTCGCTGCACCACATTATGTAATAGCTGTGTGACCTTGGATCCCTGAGCCTCCTCCTTGGTAAAAGACAGATAATAGTACTAACTCATTGCTGAGAGCATTAAAGATAGAGAATAAAATCAAAATGAATAAGGCATCTTTACAGTACAATTCCTAACAGTGATTGCAGCAAGTGACTATAAAATTACTGTATAAGACTTTTTTGTATGAGACTCTTAAAAGACATATATGTGTGTGTACACTTCTATAATCTCAAGAGTCACTTTTGTTCTAAACATAAGATCAAGTCAACAAAAAATATTCATTTGAGTACAAAAACATGCTCATAAGTAATCATTCTTCATTTGAAACTGAAATACATAGGTAGACATTAATCAACTGTAACTTTTCAACAGACTCCATAAATCAGAGCTGATAAGGTAATCAGAGCAGAAAGATGCCTGACTGGTTTGGCTCAGTGGATAGAGCGTCAGCCTGCAGACTCAAGGGTCCCAGGTTCGATTCCAGTCCAGGGCATGTGCCTTGGTTGCGGGCACATCCCCAGTGGGGGGTGTGCAGGAGGCAGCCGATCGATGTTTCTCTCTCATCAATGTTTCTAACTCTCTATCCCTCTCCCTTCCTCTCTGTGAAAAACCAATAAAATATTTTTTTAAAAAAATCAGAGCAAAAATATGAGTAATTAGGACAGACCACAAGCAATGAAAGATATAGTGCTACTTAAAACAGGAAGTGAGATAACAGAAAGTCTTTTTCTTTAAAAAAAACAAAACAAAAAACATTACAGCCCAGCTGGCATGGCTCAGTGATTGAGAATCGTCTTATAAATCAGGAGGTCATGGGATTGACTCCCAGTTAGGGTATATGCCTGGGTTGCGGGCCCAATCCCCAGTGGGGGGCATGCAAGAGACAGCAAACAATGATTCTCATCATTGATGTTTCTATAGCTCTCTCTCCCTCTTCCTTACTCTCTGAAATCAACAAAAATATATTTTAAAGAAAAAAAGCATGACATTCAGTATAAGAGAACATGTATTAGGTTCTCAACCCTGAAATAAAGGCCTTAACTATTTAACAAAGTTATACTTTAAATGCAGTAATATATTAGACCCTCACAATTTAAGATATGCATAATTCAGAAAGGATTATGTTGGACTAATAAGACTAATCATTACAACAACATTGGCTAACATAGAGTGAGCCAATTATGCTCAAAGTATTTTGTACAGGTTTTCTTATTTAGTCTTCACAGTAAATTGTGTGAGAAGAAAAAAACAGTCATCCCCATAAACATGAACTTAACATTCAGGAAGATTATGTAACTTGTCCATGGTTATAGTCAGTAAGTGACAGAGCCGAGATTTGAACCCAGGGTTGTTATGACTTCAAAAACCAATATTCTTTCTAACCAGAACATGAGGACACTCAACTATATGACCCTGAAAATGACCTGTATATCTAGGACCTAAAATTCTCTTTTCTAATGAGTTCCTGCACTTGAGCATTTTAAAGGTCCAAGCCCCTGCCCCCTTCAGCAACTCTCTAATCCTTATTCCTTTCAGGGAATAAATAATGTATGATAAAGTTATTATCACACACTGTTTACACAAGAAAGGAAGAAACAGAAAGGGAGGGAGAATTACTTCAGGTTAACCTTTCAGATACAAAGGGTGATCCGTAGGTGATGGCGAGCACTGAGAAAGCGGAGGCGCGAGGAAAGGAAAGAACACAGACTGGCCGTGAGAGAAGAGCTTCCTGACAACAAGCATGGAGACACCGGGACACATTACCAAAGAGCATTATGTAGGATAAACTGAAGAAAATACAACCCCGTGGAAGGCTGTCAACACATAAATAGTGTCAACACACACACAAGACAGGGAAGGACAAATATAGCCTACTTGGCTCAGCCTCACTTGTCATCTGAAACAGAAGAGAAAAGCCGGAAAGGGGTAAAACACGCCTGACAGCGGCAGTCAGGAGGGGGAACTTCGATTCCGCCTGAACACACGTTAGCAAAATGCAAACCCAAATATCTAGGCCTCATTCCTCAGAGGGCTCGTCAGTGCACAGGCACCATTTTATGCTCTCCTTCAATTCATTATCCATTAAGACACAGCATCTCTATTTCCTCTGCAAATTCACATTCATACTGGTGAAAGAAAATTCACATTCATACTGGTGAAAGAAAATAAAACCCACATTATGCTAGTTTCTTAGGTATGTGTTGGGAGAACTTTGAATGAAAAGTATCACCAAGGTAACTTCCTTCTGGAATTAAGAACAAAACAGAAAGCCCCCACATAAGTCTGGTGGAACTGTTAGGCCCAGGAGCGTACAGAGTTTCACAGCTGTGCCCCTTCTCTCACCACGTGGAGTCACCCACAGGCACAGACCCAACGCTGATTGCCTTAGGACTGCCATTCTTCAATCAACCCGTGTGCCCAAAGTGTATTTAACATATGCAACACCTGACGGTTTGGTCAGAAGTAATGACCTTTTTCCTTAGATCACATGTGTCAAACACAAGGCCCGAGGGCCAAATCCGTCCCGCCAGGCCTTGCAATGTGGCCCACACCGCGCTGTCATCACTGCACTCCGCTGCGTTTCCATCACAATGACAGTTTATGACTGTTCAGTAAACCATTCGGCCCGCGATTTAGGCTGGATTTTAGATTTTGGCCCCTTCTCTGATTGAGTTCGACACCCCTACTAGATGGTCAAATGAAAAAATGACAACAGTAACAGCAGCCAATGCAACAATAGCTGTCCCGTGTGAATGAATCAAAATTATACCTTTTTTTTTTTTTTTGGTCACATTGGCCCCCAAAAAAAGTTTTTGTTGTGCCACACAATTTAAATATTTTATATGTGCCACACGACGAAAAGGCTGGAAACCGCTGCCTTAGGAAGCTGCAGAGCCCGAACAATTCCGTTTCTCCCTTTCTAATGTCAGCTGTGTTGTGACATGAACCCTTTACTAATCTGCAGAAAATGAAACGTCTACATGTTCCTGGGAGTAACCGGACTCTCTGACTTCCATTACGAAAAGAACGGTTTCTTTCAGGATGACTACGTATTATCAGGAAGTGGGGGTGGAGGGGAACTTTCCATGAAAAGAATAGACTCAAGTCGGCCAAGCTACCGCTTTTGTAATTCTTTCCTGCTTTTCTCTACTACGGCCACTGCCACCCGAAAGAGAGACGCAATGTCTCAGCCGCTGGTCCCACCTACACCTGCTCCTTTTACACAAAACAGAAAAGACTTCCGGCCGTGCATTGCTCGGTCCTAACAATACACCCCGTGGAGGTACAGCAGCTGGGAGCACAGGTGCTTGTGGTTCCGGGAGGACTCAAGAGCCCAGGCCAGGCCTACCTTGTGAGTAGAGGAGGATCTGCATCTCTAGGAGGACGCAGGTGAACAGCTGCACCAGGCTCTCCAGCCCCAGGAGCTCGAAGGCCTCCCGCAGGGGGTAGTCGGAGAGGGGGAGCTCGTTGGGCCCGGGCCTCTGGCATACGATGGGTTCATAAACGCCATAGAACTTCAGAGACCTCCCTGGCGGTGGGAGCGGTACCTCGTAGAGGATGTTATGGATGTAGCTCTCCAGCGGCAAGGGGGGTGGCTGCTGCGAGGTAACGGCTCGGCAGAGCTGGACGAGGAATTTCTTGCAGGCCTGCATGAAAGGCAGGGGCGTGATCAAACATATGCTTTTGGAAACGTACAGGGTGTCTCTGCTGATGTCGTAGGAGTTGCAGCGCTGGAGTTTCGAAAGGGAAGTCGTATCTCCCTCGTCGATGCTGCTGGCCAGCGAGTCCATGCTGCAGGAGGAGGAAGCGTAATGCTCAGCGTTGTGCATCTGGTAGAGTGTCTGCATGGCTGTGCAGATTTGCTTGCTTGTCACTTCCTCATAAAAAGTGAGAACAAAACCGTAGGTGCGAGAACCATCTTCTCGGGTGATTATAAACGAGTGGAACTGAGGGTCTCTGTTGTCAGCCTGTGTTCTGAAAGACAGCCCTTTCGGCATGCACAGCTGTGGAGGAAAGGGGGGGAAACATCAGAATGCAGCGCGCGAATAACTTCAAACCAGGAAAAAAAAAAAAAAGTTTGCAAACCTCTATCCCAGCTTGTGACCTTCAGCAAATCACGTAACCACTCTGAGCCAGTTTCTTTATCTAGAACATTTGCTACATCGGTGACTTGAAGACAAAATACTCAAGGGCACTTTACAGATATTTAACATTTAAGCACTATTTTTAGAATAGTGATGATAATGTTTCAAAGAAATAAGGGAACAGATGAAGGCTCACTTGATAAACACAGAATAATAATTTATTTTATCTCTTTTGAACAATATAATATTTCATCCTTGAAAAATAAGCGTTGAAAGTGGAATGATTTTTGATTTACTGAAGCAGAAGGGTGGAAACCAGATATTCCAGATTATTTCCAGCAGAGATTGTGCTCTGGGTCTTGGGAACTAACCAGGATTCAGTCAAATTTGGGAATAAATTGCCTAAGGAGCTAAAAATGTTATATTTAAGATACTTAAAAAGATAAGAAATTAGAATTGAGCCTTTAAAATTCTTCTAAAAGTATTTTAAATAAAAGAAATGAAATTAAAGAAAATATGAAATACACTAAGAAAAACAGAACTTATAATTCAACTACCCAAATAGAATCATTAGGTTTTATATATTCCCTTTTTACTTTTATATTTCAATACGCCTTCTGAATAGAAATAACTTTATCATACATTATTACATTATATTTTTCTTTTCCTTTTCTCAGACTTGGTCATTGATCTGATGTAAAAGTGAGAAGTTTTCCCAAATCCATCCGCACATTAGCAAGAAAACACAATTTGCCTGAAAGTTACCAGTACTTTGGTCAAAGAGTCAACAAACACTTGCTAACTGCCTTGATGAGCGAGGCCCTCAATGGTGACAGATGGAGAGAGAGACAGATACAAGTCGGTCCCTGCTCCTTTGGCGCTTCTAGTCCAATAAGAATGACATACGATTAAAAAAACCATAAGCGGTGAAGTATGGGAAGTACTATCACAGGGTAAACAGAAGGACATAAATGAGACAAGGGGGAGCTCCTGGAAAAAACTGAGTAACTGGAAGTCATTGTGGGCGGGGAACAGGATGCAAGGGGAGGGGAGGGGAGAGAGAACACAGGAGAATTAGGGGTGGGCCATGAAGGGCTTTGGTGAGTGACCTTAGACATCAGGGGAGAGCAACGGAAGCCTCTGAGGGGTTTTCAGCAGTAGGAGTGGGACAGAATTAGATGTGCCTCTTGGCTCATCAACCTCCCTGCACGGAAAGGCAGTGGTTTTCAAAGGGGTCCCACAGAGGCGGCAAGAATGCCTCAGAACCTTGGGGTCATCTCTGACTTTTCTCATTCTCTCTCATACCATTATCCAACCCATCAACAAAGACCACTAATTCTACCTTCAAAAATATATTCAGAAACGAACTAGCTCGTTCTATCTTCACTCTCACTACTATAAGTCACATCTCCTCTTGCCTGATGACAACTTAACGTTCTGCTAACCAGTCTCCTGCTTTTGCTTTTGTCCCCCAAAATCTGGTCCCCACGTGTAGCTCAAGTTATCCTTAAAAAAATGTTACATTTTGTCACTCTGGAAACCCTCCAATGGCCTCTCATCTCCCTAAAAGCTGAAATCCTGCTCCACATGACTTGGCCCCAGCAACTTCTCTGCCTTCACCTCCCACTGCTCTATAGCTCACCTACTCTGTTCCAGCAACACTAGCCAGATTGCTGTTCTGTGGCACACCCAGCCAGCTTTTGCTAAAATTTTGCTATTCCCCCCTAGGTATCCACATGGTTTGTCCCTGTAGCAGATTGTATTTCTAAAAATGACTCCCAATTTTTTTCTAGCTCCACATGCTCTGCCAGAACCTTGCCACCCTCCCAGCAAGTCTGGGTGGGCCGCCGAGAGTGCCGACACTAAGGACCCAACAACTTTTTTTTTGTAAAGATCCAGATGAGTATTTTAGGGTCTTCAGGCCACACAGACTTTGTTACAACGACTCTACCACTGTAGTGTGAAAGCAGCTGTTGACAAGGTAAAGGAATGGGTAAGACTTTGAGAAGGGCAACCCTGCCAAACCCTATCCAAATTGTTGATTTATAAGCAAAATGATAATCCTGTTTTAAACCAACAAACTACAGCCTTTTGGCCTGAAAGCAAAATGTTACTGGAACACCAACACACTCATCCAGCCCAGCACTCTCTACTGCTGCTTCTGTACAACAATCTCTCTCTCTCTCTCTCTCTCTCTCTCTCTCTCTCAGCAATTAAAAAATATATTAAAAAAAAAAAAAAAGATTGTAGGAAGAATGATTTGAAACACTCTTGCTCCAGGCTAAACTCAAACTTATTTAGCAGAAAACACGGCACATTTGTTGAATGAATACATTAATGAATGAACAAGAAAACAAAAAAAAATGATAGCTGGGGAGTACAGGATCAGACTCACTTCATCTCTTGATTCAGTCTGTAGTTCTCTTATCACCTCAAGTAGGCCACAAAGAAACATGGTGACCTCTGAAGTCAACATGAAGATTTAATTTAATCGATAGGCTTTCCTGACACCATAAACTGCAAAAATTACACCTTGAACTATTCTTGAACAGCTGCCAAATATTCCCTTAAGGGTTTGTAGCTTTTTTGAGCACACAGTCAAACATTTATAGAGAAAGCTTGCCAGAAGTTGTGTTCAAATTAAAGAATGACTTTCTACGCTACATATAACAGATGTTAAGAATTCTTAAATTTTCTTCCTACAAAAAAAAAAAAAAGTAAGAATTGTATTTCTAATCTGAGAACCATGAACTGGAAAATGCCATTGCTTTTTCATTTCTAAAAGTAATAATTGTTGCCCGGCCCACGTGGCTCAATGGTTGAGTGTCGACCTAGAAACCAGGAGGTCATGGTTCCATTCCCAGTCAGGGCATACGCCTGGGTTGTGGGCTTGATCCCCAGTGGGGGGTATAGGAGGTAGCCAATCAATGACTCTCTCTCTCTCTTATCATTGATGTTTCTATCTCTCTCTCTCTCCCTTCCTCTCTATTGGTTTTAGAGTGAGAGAAAGGAAAAGGGACAGGGAGATAGAGGGAGAGAGGGAGGGAGGAAGGGAGGAAGAGAGAGAGAAAGGAGGAGGAGAGAAAGAGGGAAAGAGGGTGCGAGACAAGGAGAAAAAGAGGGAGAGGGAAAGAAATCGATGTGAGAGAGAAACATGGATTGGCTGCCTCCTGCACTCACTCTTACCAGGGATTGAGCCCACAATCTAGGCTTATGTCCCAACTAGGAACTGAACCAACAACCTTTTGGTGCATGGGACAACTCTCAACCAACTAAGCCACAGATTCTTAAGGAGAAGATTTATCTACCAGAACGCTGCATAAACAATCTGGATGCCAACACAGAGTGCTCAGAGAGATCTGAAATAGGGGGAAAGGAGGAAAACTTCAGCTCTATTTGCAATGCTTTGCTTTATGAGGAAAGGTATGGATCTGAAGCAAAGTGTCAGCGCTGACATGTGTTAGCTCTGAGTGGTGGGTATAAGACTGTTTGTTGTATTATTCTCTGTTTTATGATACTTCCATCCCCACCCCCATAAAAATCTCTTGAATTAACAACAACAACAACAACAACAACAACAAAAATATATATATATATATATATACAATATATATATTCAGAAATCATAATAATCTGACCACTCACTGTATAAAAAGCAATTAATTCAGAAACAATTACACCTGTCACTTATATCTATTTTCTATTTTATTTGCATTGCACTCATACACATGGAATTTTTTTATTTAATGAAGTTCACTGCTTCGGGGTACTTAATTTGTGTGTGAAATTACTGACCCTTATTTCAAAGTATCAATGCTGCTTGTTAGAGGAATGACTGATACTATAGAAGGTGGTGACTCACTCCTTGGAGTGGGATTTTGCTAACAGCAAGAACAAAGCTCTAGACACAAACAATAGTGGGAGAGGCGGGAGAGGGAAAGGCCTGGAGGTGGGAGGAGCAGTGAGGAGGGGGTCATTGGGGGGGCGTGGAGGGGGAACATCTGTAATACTTCCAACAATAAAGATAAATCTCACAAACAGAACAAAGCTTTATGCCTTTGGGTGGAATAAATTATAGCTTCATACAAATGCACTTACTAATAAATCAGAGAGGACATTAAGGGCAGTAAATCTATGACCCAAATGCAGACCAGTTTAATGGGATGCTTTTCAGAGATTTTCGAGGAGTGCCAGCAAATCCCTTTAGATTTGCAGCCATGAACAAAATGCTATGTGGTGCTTAACCATCAAAATACACACCCATGTGTTTATTCTCCAGAGGGAAACTTTTGCTGCTTACATAAAATAACCTCAGCGGCAAGGAGAGAGGAAAATAGCAAAGACAGAGCAAGGAAATGAATAATTAATTTAAAAATTAATTTTTTGCAGACAGAAGCAAAAGCTATCACGAATATCTCACTTCTAATCCATTCAAGTGATTAAAAGAAACACACACACACACACACACACACACATATCAAGTGTGATATTTGGTTCCAAATGACTGTGGGTTTATATTGTTAAGACCCTAGTCACCATTCTAATTTCTCACAAAATAATTTATACTTTGAAATATCTTACTAATTTAAAAGGATCAAGTGTTATAATCTATTTACATTCTTGCCCATTTTCCCATTGCTTTATTTTGACACTCTACTATTTCCCCATTAACTTGCTGGCAGAAGCAGCTGATAAAGTATTTTTTGTCACTGCTGCTTGTTGTCTATTTCAGTCAGAAACTTGTCCATAATTCTCCAACTCCCATAAGCACAACAGTTGTGTTCTACTTCACGTTTATAGTTCTGTCTTCACCAAAGAGGAGGCTGGGCTCCGTAGAATTAACTTCCAGTGAAATGGCATCTCTGGTTATTTTGGTTCTGGGTGACAGTTTAGAGAAATAACTGCACCAGACTCTGTGATGACTTAAAGTGCCAAGAGGCTTAGGCATTTGTCCTTAGAAAAATTACCACGCTACCCTCTCCTTGGTGCAAGCCCCAGACTGGAATGGGCTTACTGTGATACAGAAATACCCAAAGGTCCAGGGGGACCCACATCATCCTGGCGCAGGTCAAAACTAAGTTGCATAGTTTTTCTTTGGGGGAGATAGCATGCAGGAGGTTTGTGGGTGGGGGTGAGCTGGAGGGGAAAATGATCTGGATTCAACCTCTGAGACTCCCTGCATAACTCTGGGCAAGTAACTAAACGTCTGCGAAATATGAGTTAGGGTCCTCAATGGGTACATGCAAGCATGTATGTGAAAGTAACATACATGAAGTGTCTAGCATCATCTACTAAACATTAACTTCCTTCCCTTATAGTAACAGTGTCTTTTGGCTCTACCTTTAAAATAGTAAAAAAAACTAAAATAACCCATACCGATTAGTGTCTCAGTCCACCTTTAATCATTTCGGTGCCTATCACGCCTGATCTCTGATTTGCTCACTTTCGGGCCTCCTGATTTTTATAATCAAGGAGGTCTAAAATATTACCCAGGCTTCTAAGCAGGACCCTCCCTAGTTTCACGAATATCTCACTTTTATTCCATTGAAATGATTAAAAGAAAAACACATACACATCAAGTATGATATCTGGTTCCAAATGACTGTGGGTTTATATTGACACCATTCTAATCTCTCACAAAATAATTTATACTTTGAAATATCTTACTAATTTAAGAGGATCAAGTGTTATAATCTATTTACATTCTTACCCATTTTTCCATTGCTTTATTTTTATACTCTTTAATATTTTCCCACTAGAGGCCTGGTGCATGAAATTTGTGGATGGGGGTGGGGGGGAGAGAAGTGTCCCTCAGCCCAGCCTGCACCCTCTCCAATCTGGGACCCCTCGGGGGATGTCCAACTGCTGGTTTAGGCTCAATCCCACAACTGGCAGTCAGACATCCCACAATCTGGGACTGCTGGCTCCGAACCACTCGCCTGCCTGCCTGATAGCCCCCTAACCACTCCCCTGCCAACATGATTGACACCTAACTGCTCCCTTGCTAGCATGATCATCCCCAACTGACTTCCCCAGCAGGGCTGAGGGGACTGGGGGGGTCTCTGGCTGGATGAGGCAGAGCTGAGGGGGCCAGGCACCATAATCTTTTGAGGGTGTGGCAGTCAATTAGTATATTCCCTCTTTTTAAAAAAAAATATATATATTTTATTGAGTTTTTACAGAGAGGAAGGGAGAGGGACAGAGAGCTAGATACATCGATAAGAGAGAGAAACATTGACCACCTGCCTCCTGCCCACCCCCTACCGGGAATGTGCCCGCAACCAATGTACGTTCTCTTGACCGGAATCGAACCTGGGACCTTTGTCCACAGACTGACGCTCTATCCACTGAGCCAAACCGGTTTCGGAAGCATATTCCCTCTTTATTGGCTATGGGTGCCACCATCTTAGTGAGGGTGAGATTGGTCAATTAGCATATGCTCTCTTTATTAGATACGATTAATTTGCAAATTTCTAAATGAACTGTAAACTATGACCTACTTAAGTTAGCTAGGCCCAAGAATCTCTAAAGGGGCTTAAAATCACCACTGGTAATACATGACATTAATTCAAAGCCCTTACAAACAAATTCCTACTTTTAAATGACGCACTAAAGGTCCTTTCTCTCTTTACTCTGCGACTATGGTACATTCCAGGCCTATCATACAACATTCCTTGAAATAAGAGAACTGTAAACATATTCCTTCCATCAGGATTCTTTCCAGGAAAATAAAGTAATATCACTGTTTATCAAAGCCATCTCTGTGTTAGTTAATACAAACACACAACACAGCTTTTAATAGTAGGAAGAGAAAATGGTTTGGAGGGGGTCCACTGTACATAATTATTTGCTATGGGGACCTCAGGCAAGTTACTGAAACTCCCTGAGTTTAATTTTTTACAACTATAAATGAGTATATTATCATATAAAAATGGATATTTAAAGAATTAAATAATACCCTAGCTGGTTGTCCAATGGTTAGAGCACTGGCCCTTGGACTGACGGGTCCCGGGTTCAATTTCAGCCAAGGGCATGTACCTCGGCTGTAGGCTCAGTCCCTGGCCGTGATGCAACCAATGTGAAAAAGACATCTTACATGGATGTTTCTCTCTCTCTCTCTCTCTCTCTCTCTCTCTCTCTCTCTCTCTCTCTCTCTCTCTCTCTCTCTCTTTCCCCTTCTCTCCCCCCCTCTCCCTCCCTTCCTTCACCCTAAAAAAAAAAATTGAAAAATATCCTTGAGTGAGGGCTAACATACATACATACATACATACATACATAAATAAATTGCCGAAACTGGTTTGGCTCAGTCGATAGAGCGTCAGCCTGAGGACTGAAGGGTCCCAGGTTCGATTCCAGTCAAGGGCATGTATCTTGGTTGCGGGCACATCCCCAGTAGGGGGCGTGCAAGAGGCAGCTGATAGATGACTCTTTCTCATTGATGTTTCTAACTCTCTATCCCTCTCCCTTCTTCTCTAAAAAAAAAAATCAATAAAATATATTTTTAATAAATAAATAAAATAATGTAAGACATTCAAAATAGTCACTATTGTCATCTCAGTAAAATAAAAAGGCTAAAAAGGAAAAGAAAAATACATACCATATTCACTGCATCTTGATCAAAAGGGTTCCACTCTATATTCTGAGGATAGTGGGCCAGAACCTTGGATTTGAATGTTCTTCTCAAAGGACTCTGGTCAAAATTTTCACCTATAACAAGTAATTAACAATTAGTATCCAGAATTTCCTCAAAAGCATGCCATAGCTTTAGTTTTATTTTGTAGTTATATTGACTGATGGTACTGAAATCTAATTCAATTCTACTCCTAACAGTCTGCATTGTAAAATTCTCAATGGACGAATGAAAAACAAAACACAAACACCTGTAATAAAAGGTCTGCATTGAAGACTTTAGAATCTGAATTTTTAAATCCTGGATAGACAAGTGATACTAAAAGTCAGATATGATATAGTCCTTGCCGTAAACTAATTATTATCCTCAATGCAGTATCTAATGATAAAAATATCCATTTGGAAATATTTAATTCATTAAAGAAACATCCTGAATTAAACTGATCATACCTCTTATGATTCCAAAATTTTGTACATGGACAGACACAATGCTGCAGTACTCAAAAAAGGCAGTGGGCTTAAATTTCCACAAAATTCTCTCATAAATGTGACTGCATCTCCAGGCTTTTACAAGAATTAACAGAGTTAGAAACATCATTACTGAGTTGTCTAAGCTTAGTAGACAAAACACACTAAGCTCTGAAAAGAAACAATCTATTCTAAGCCAAGTTCACCACCTGTCAAAAATCTGGAAAGAAAAGTAGACTAGTCTTTGCTTGTTATATTAATATATAAGAAAATTTAATAATAGCTGTCAGCTCAGTTCTCTATCTCTTCAATCAAATTAACTCCCATGAGACCTCTTACCTACAAATGCCTTAGTTTCATAAACTATTTTAAGGTGGATGGATCTTAAATTCTCAGTTTTAAAAAGGTGAGATTAAGAAAGTAGAAGACCTTGGAGCAACTTTATTCTTTCTCCTGTGTTTTTTGTACTTTTAAAGTTTACTTATTAAGTGCAAAACACGAGCCGCTATATCAAAAGATAAATGCCAGTTACCAGTATTTGTAAAAGTAAAAATATCAATAAGCAATTTATGAGTCACACTTGGACATGTAGTCAAACTCCATTCCCATTTTTCATAAAAGTATGAAGAGATGAATATTAAAACACCTTTTAGTGCAAAACAGATCACAGGGGAGAAAAGGCACACTCTAAAACAAACATGTCAAACTCATGCAGCCCACAACAAACATTTTTTCAGCCCAGCCAATATAATAGTATGCAAAAAACATTTCAATAAAATTTTCATAACTTAATTTTTATATCTTATTCTACATATTAATAACAAATTACTAGATTATGACTAGATTACTATAATCGTGTTGCATTCATTTCCCTTACACGCCTTTTGCACATGTGCACCATTTCTCTCCTCTAATGCTAGCAGCGAATATTTTAGCAGCCAATTGCCACATCATTAGTCTTGGACTGACTTGTTTGGTGTGCGCAACAGGAAATATTTCGCTTTCAGAGAACAAGAAAAATAGGTTTATTTGCATTACGCTTATTAATTTGTGCATTCAGGGTCTGATAAAGTTAATATTAAAAAATTAATTTTTATTAAAGGGTTCTATTATCTTATGGTAACAACTACTCATTTATTTCAGCCCTTTGTATTCAGCTCGTCTATATACAAATAAACATACTTTTCTATGAAAATTGAAGCTTTTGTTTTTTTGAGGCCCTCATAAACTTAAACCTTGTTTATTTGGCCCGTGTTAATCTTTGAGTTTGACATGCTTGCTCTAAAACCTTGCTGAAGATTGCAATATAATATCCAAGAGCTTTTTTGAACAAAGGCACACAATTTAAATAGGTTTGCTGCAAGTAACCTACTGCTTCTAATTTGAGCCCCTGGCTAGTGTTGTTCATCTTATTTATTTAGGCAAGCACTTCATCTTTCTACCCCATGTTTCCATCTTTTAAGAGATGGGGTAGAGAACTTTCACTTCCAGGAGACAAATGTCAAAGGCATCCCTAAGGGAAGTTACCATTTTCTAAGGGTCTGTAAACACCAAAAAGTCAATGGGAAATGGTGTTTACATAAGTGTTTACTTCTCATGTCTGAAGAAAAGAGTTTATTTCAGGAGGATGAATGTCATCCTGTATTCTAGATTAGTCACTTCTTCATTTAAAAAAAAAAGGTTACTTTTTACTTCACCTCAAGTCAGAGAAAAAAGAAAACAGACACTTCCTCCTGGTTCTAAAGGTCTATCTGCTGACTGTGCTACTGACAGCAACAGGATAGCCTCAGAAATACGCAGCCACCAAAAAACGCCCTCCTTCGCCCACCCATAATTCCCCAAATGCTTATTTTTATTACCCATGAATGTAAATAAAATATGAAACACTGTGGGGCATAAGAAACGGCACATACGCAGGACAGAACTCCGTGGAACACTTACCTTTTCATGATTCCTGCCTGAGTTCAGTTAAAATAGTAACATTCTCCTCATTCATATATGAAGTTATAAAAGGTAAATCAGAAAAGTCACGACAGTGCCATTTTCAACATAACTGTTCTGCTCCCTAAGGAACACCACACCCTCTTGAGGACCAATTAATCACCAGAAGAGAGAGAAGGAAAACCACCTCCAGAGAGAAAAAAAAATTCACAAAAACAAATCCCAAAAAACTCATGAAAACAGAAACCCAAACATAACAACAACAAAAAACACAAACAGAATCATCATCATCACCACCGCCACCACCATCACTACCATCACCACCACCACCACCACCATCACCACCATCACCACCACCACCTTTCAGTAGAGTGCCACAAAGTGGGGTGGGGGCATTAGGAAAGATCATTGCTATATATGCAGCTGTCTTGGCAAATATTATTCTGAAGGAAATTAGGGGAATAAACAACTACGGAGAAATGCTGGTAACACTGCTGAGGGTTTAGAAATGGGTGGGTTCAGCTATTCCTACTAGCACCGGTTAGAGAGGAAAAACCTGGAGATACCTTTTGGAGATGTAAAATGGGGGAATAACCTTACCTTCTCATTTTGAGCCCAGGTAGGTTTTAATAAACCTCTAACTTAGATTCTATTGCTAGGACTTAGCAGGAGAAATGAATCAGTCTAAGAATCTGGATTCCCAGGAACTAGAAATTATATATAAGCATCCTTTACTTAAAATCCACCTTCAAATATCCTGAAGTGAACAAGGACTGTAAATTTGTGCAAATATTAATACCTCCCACTACAACTACATAAAGACTTAATTTCAAATAACACTGTCAAGTAATCTCCTCCTAAACCTAGCTGCAATAAAACTTTTCCTCCTAAAAAATAGGACATATCTGCCAAGAGAGCTTACAGGATCATGAATAATTTTTTTCAAGGCTTGAAGCAAATGCAATCTTAAAAAAAATTAAGATGAAGAAGAAAGAATAGAAACACAAAACAATACCTATTTTTTTACCTGAGCAGAAATGAATAAACAAACAATTATGATGGGCTTGGGCGAATTAAGATAATGATTTCTAACACCTCAACTTTTTATTTTTACCTGAGGTCGTATTTGCAGCATCTTGGCTCCCGCCATGACGATTTGCTTCTAGCCATTGGTACAAAACTACATAATGTAACAGAAACAAAAAAGCTTTATGAACAAACAAAAAAGCAAAAAATTTGACTTTGAAGAATGGAAAATGAGAATAAAAAATTAAACAAAAGCAATCAACATGAAACATCAACAGCAATGGAATGTAACTTGACGCCAATAGTATGCAGCTTATAAACTAGTAATAAGAAAGGAAAGAGAACAGGTAATTACATTTTACCGGAGGCTCGATGACGAAATTTGTGCAAGGGCCTTGCCCCAGCCCCTGCCTGCCGCCGCCGTGGGCCTCTGACGCCTCTGCCTCAGCCCCTGCCCACTGCAGCTTTGTCCGGGAGGACATCCAGTCTAATTAGCATATTACATTTCTATTATTATAGATTGTAATAAGTGAAATGCTATTTAAACATCTATAACTTATTTAAATGGGGGGAAAGCACACATTCTTTTAATAGTAATTTAAAGAGAAATATCAGGAGAAAGCTTATGTTTCTATTGGAGGCCCGGTGCACAAATTCATACATGGGTGGGGTCGGGCTGGCCTGCCCTGATTGGGGTGATCAGGCTGGGCCAGCCAAGAGGAGCCGTTGGTGGTTGGCCAGCCTGCCCTGCCCTTGATCAGGAGGTGGGGGGAGGATGATTGGGGCGGGGCCAGCTGTGGAGAGGGGCCATGGGCAGTTGGCCAGCCAGCTCCGCCCCCTGGTCAAACTCCCAGTTACACTCCCAGTCCAACTAATGGTTGAGGGGACAATTTGCATATTAGCCTTTTATTATAGAGGACTAGGGGCCCGGTGCATGAATTCGTACACAGGTGGGGTCTGGCCAGCCCTGCCCTGGATCAGGGTGGGAAGTCCAATCAGAGCCGAGCTGGCCATGGGGAGGGGACGCAGGAGGTTGGCGGGTGGCCCCACCTCCTGTTCGTACTCCAGTCAAACTCCCAGTCAAGGAAACAATTTTCATATTACCCTTTTATTATATAGGATTATTATATGAGATAGTCAGATATAACAAAATATGATGGTAAGACTAAATTAAAAATTATATCCCAACCTCTACACACCTATCAGAATGGCTGAAGTCCAAAAAACTGACTCACTGACAAGCGTACAAGTGACAGAACTCTCATAAATTGCTGGTGAAAATGCAAAATGGTACACAGCCACTTTGGAAGACAGTCTGGCAGTTTCTTACACGGCTAAACATAGTCTCATCGTATGATCCTGTAGCCTCAGTATAATCTGGAGGAAAACATCAAATTCCAAGAGGAGACATCTACAATATACCTCATGAATACTTGTCAAAACTGTCCTGATTATCAAAGACAAGGGACGCTTGGGAAACTGCGACAGCCAAGAGGAGCCTCGGAGACATGAATGCCGAGTGACTGTAACGCGGTATTTGGATGGGATCCTCCCAACCCAGAAAGGACATTAAATAAACACTGAGGGAGTCTGAACAGAGTACAGACCTTAGTTAATACTGCACCAAAATGGATTAATTAATTGTAACACATGTATCATACTGCTAGAAGATGTTAATGATAGGGAAAGCTTCATGTGTGGAAGAGGGGTGAAGGGTGTAGGATCTATGTACTATCTCCATTTTTCTGTAAATCTAAGACTACTCTAAAAACCACATCTGCTTTAAAAATTACATTCCAACATTTAAGATAAGGACAAAAGCAAATAAGTATATTTGATATTATAAGAGGTCTACCTTTTGTAAATCACTCTGCAAGCGTAAGCTGAAGTTTGCTCTGTACCAAGATTCCACTTTAATCAACTATCCTCATAAGCACTTTTTACTAAGAGGTGTCAACTTTGGGAGGAAAGTTTACTAGAGTGAGAACCAGGCTATGAAAGAATCCACATCAGAGCTCGGTAACTGGGAGGCGCTAAAGAGTGTTACAGCTTCTGGTCACCAGGCTGATGTAGCTCAGTGGTTGAGCGTTGACCCAGGAGGCCACGGGTTGATTCCCAGCCAGGGCACATGCTGGGGTTTCAGGCTCAATCCCCTGTGAGAGGCGTGCAGGAGGCAGCTGATCGATGACATTTCTCTCATCAATATTTCTATCTTTTCATCCCTCTCCTTTCTTCTCTAAAAAAATAAATGAAAACGTACTTTAAAAAAAAGAACTTGGTGGGGGGAGGGGGCAGGCTGGAAGGGGTCAATGGGGGGAAAAGGGGGACACATAATACTTTCAACAATAAAGATTAAAAAAAAAAAAAAAAAGCCAATACCAGTTTGGCTGAGTGGATAGAGCGTCGGCTTGCCGACTGAAGGGTCCCGGGTTCGATTCCGGTCAAGGGCAGGTGCATGGGTTGCAGGCACATCCCCAGTGGGGGGTGTGCAGGAGGCAGCTAAGTTGATGTTTCTCTCTCATCGATGTTTCTAACTATCTGTCCCTCTCCCTCTCTGTGAAAAATCAATAATATATATTTTTTAAAATGGATGTTTTTATGGGTTACCTAAATGTCTACAGGTTTTTACATCTTTGCAGAGATGTCAGCGTCTCCTTTAAAGAGTTGGACAATTCAGGGTCCTAAAGGCCAGGGGAAGCTGCCTGTGGGGCTCCAGAACTGACGGAATGAAGGAAAGACTAAAAGCACCCATAGTCACCAAGGAAGCTGTTTGGATCTTTAGGGACAGTCAGGACTGTGAACTGACACCCATCATCAGGGACAGGGGCCCAAAGCAGAGGGACCTCTGAACAGCCCCACACACGTGTGTGACGTCCTGGTTGAGGGTGCCCCCCCATGAGGGCACACACAGTCAGTCTCCTCCCGGTCTCTGCACTCCTCTGGGAGGCAAACAACTGCGATTGGTACTGGCATGAAAGAATTCAGGAAGCAGACCACACTCATTAAATATACAGTACAGGTATTTCCTCTTTCCAGGTTGCAGGAATAATGACTACTCGTTAGAGGAGAGCGGAGTAGTATTAGTACATGACACAAAAATCTCCCCATTTGGCCCTAGCTGGTTTGGCTTACTAGTAGTGGATAGATCATTCGCCTGCGAACCGAAGAGTCCCAGGTTTGATTCCAGTCAAGGGCACAGACTCAAACCCCAGTGTGCAGGAGGCAGCCAATAAATGATTCTCTCTTATCATTGATGCTTTTCTCTCCCTTTCCCTTCCTCTCTGAAATCAGTAAAAATAAACAAACTATATATATACATATATATATATATACAATACATATATATATGTACGTGTGTGTGTGTGTGTGTGTGTGTGTGTGTGTGTGTAATCTCCCCATTTGGAAAAGCAAGCATCGCTCTCACAAAAATGAGACACAAAGTAGAGAAAACAATCCACTAACTGGTCTAACAGAATAGGCTCTTATCTAAAACCCACTGGGTCCTGATTAAGGTGAAAATTCTTGGCTGTGTTCAGAGTATCACTAGGAGTATTTACCATTCGTTCCAATTACTTCAAAGAGTCCCTGTTTCTGATTTCATCAGAGAAAACGAAAAAAAAAATAATAATAATAAAGTCATTCCAGGCCAATCTACTCTGGCCAGTGATACAGAGAACTGTAAACAAAGATGTTAGAATGCTGAGAATACCCCTCTTCTCACTGATGCTGGGAGCGTGAGACCTGGCCTTCTGGTGGCTCCATGCTTCCTCTCCCTGGCACTGGGATGGGACCCCAGCCCAGCTCCTGGCCACTGCTGAGGATTTCTACGGCCTGTGCACGCGGCTGCAGGCAGAGAGGGGTTTGTGAGATGAGTGACCTTGGAGCTGCACCCCAGCCTGGCAGCCCTGTTACAGATTTCTTCCCTTGTCTCCTCTCTGAACCTCCTCCCTCCCAGGGACCCAGGGAGTTCCCTCCCTCATTATCTGCTTCCACCTCAGACTGCTTCTGCCACCGTGTTCCTCTATAGAGCAAGGTCAAGTCTCACAGCATTTCCCTATCTGCCTGTCCCTGAAGGATACCACAGAAGTCTAGATGTTTTTTGAAAAAGTTTGTTGATTAGAAAGAAAAGGAAAATGGATGGGAAGTTTTAAAAAGGTAATTAATCTCTTCTGCCCTGTCCCTTTTTCATTTTAAAACACATATAAAACAACACACACACACACACACACACACACACACACGTAATATGGACAAAATATTCAGAGTGAAAATGCTTCCCAGCAAGTGGTAAAGGAGAGGGGAGGAAATGGAGAACTCTGGATGCTGCCCTGCACTCCATGCTGAGGGGGAAAGGAGAAGATGTGGTGATGAGGTAACTCTTCTCCTTCGTATGTCTGTCCATACAGGTTTGCAAAGACTCAGCCTGAACTGGCATGAGCTGGGGCTGGGAGACAAAATACTGAACAGCAGTGAGTCCTACAAGACAGACTGACTAGGTCAGTGGTCGGCAAACTCATTAGTCAACAGAGCCAAATATCAACAGTACAGCGATTGAAATTTCTTTTGAGAGCGACATTTTTTAAACTTAAAACTTCTTCTAATGCCACTTCTTCATTCTGTGCAAGAGCCACACTCAAGGGGCCAAAGAGCCCCATGTGGCTTGCAAGCCGCAGTTTGCCGACCATGGGACTAGGGGAAGAGGAATGGGGAGGCATGTGGAAGGCAGCAGGTTGGAAAGTAAAATGAAGGGACTGTGTCATTCACCTGTACATGAGCTGTCCTATATCACAGGGGGCTGTCCTCTTCCAAGCAGATCCCCCAGGAGGCACACCATTTATTCTGGTAATTCTGGCACTGTTTAAATCATCTCTGAGTGGGCAGCATGGGAGTAGAGGCCTGATCATCACCATCCCAACTAACACAGAGAGTTTCCTATAGGGCAGTGTTTCCCAAACTTTTGACATATGTGTACCCCTTCTATAATTTTCGTAACACTGAGTACACCTCGTACTCCTGACAACGTAGAATTAGGCACAGCTAAGCACGGTGCAGTGCATATCCTCACCACACGCCTCGGTGCAACGCATACCCCCCACACACTCTTCCCGTACCCCTGGGGGTACCACACTTTGGGAAACACTGCAGGGCATTGTT